TTGGTATTTTGCTTCCCTGTCTTCTTCTCTCTTCTTCTTTTCATCGTCTCGCTGTTTTTTCATATCTTCCCTCTCCTGTTTTATATTCTCGATGTAATTTTCTAATATACTTTCAACCCGTCTTTTTTTAGGTGCATCTGTAATATATATTAATATTAATGTTGACAATATTTATTATGCATAACAGAGAAAGTAACTTTTACTCCAATTGTGGTTAATTATATGTTATTACCTCGTGAATAATCCTGAAGAAACAATGGAGATGAAGATCCTGACGTAGATGATAATGGTGGTAATGGACCTTCGCTAGATGCTTCGGCTGGAGGTTGTATATAAGCCTTCTCACCAATTAATGAATCCATCACCTAGGAATATAAAATAATTTTTGTACATATATATACATATACATATAGTACACACTGTATTATATTTGCAAACATATATGCATATATATTTACTGAATAAAAAGCCCAACTACTGTGGGAGTTGCCACTTTTTTTGTTTTGCTCGTATATACTTTTATATGTTCGTTTTAAGCCAGCAAATTTTGTAGAGCATTGTAATCCGGTAACTGCATATTCTCTATTTGTTTCTTTTATTTCGGCAGCAATCTCTCCCCAAATGACATTATGCTTCTTCTTTCCAATATTAAACTCATACTCTTTTTCTCTGTATTTTTCTATGAGTAAAAGTACTGCAGCATCAGGCCACACAAAACCTTTTAGATTTGACTGATCTAAAATTTTATTAAGAAGTCATTATAAATTAAATTTTATTGCGAAGTTTAAGCTAATTATTCAACAAAATATTAAATTGTGAAAAACTATACTGATTTGGGAGTTTTCGGTATGTTCAATTGCTGATGTATCTCCAGCACTATGTTGTTGCAAGATATTTTGCAAAAAATGTTCATCTACAAAATTATATTTTTATTAATTTATAGGTTATAATTACATATATTAAGTGTATTGATTGTACGTTTTAATACCTTGACTAGCTCTTGCAGCGGTTTCTTTCTCTAGAAAGAGCGTAATAATTTCACTGTTGCCGTCAATAATAACTGGAAATTCCACTAATTCTTTATTTTTTTCCATTTGTTTATTTTAATACACATCTCAAAGATACTAAAACTTCGTATTTTCCGCGCATGCATTAACTCTGCATCAAACGCTTCACGTTCGAGCTGATGCA